TGTAATAGATATAATTAATCCAATTAAGGTTTTTGTTGGCAGTGACTATGGTAAAAAGTGATTCAAAACCTACAGCTACTTCATCTCTAGCTTTAAATTCATTAGGTACCCCCCTAGGCACCCCAATGGCATCTATGTAAATGTGGGGGTCAAAACTGCCTTTTACTGGGGTTTCGCGCCTTACTCTGGCTGATGTATGTGGAGGGTCGTATGTGTCATGATGATTATCAGAAATAATATGAATGGGCATGATAACTTTGGCCAGGGTACACTCACCCCACCACTCAGTTTCCAGCCTAGATCTTAACTGTAGATCCCCACATAACCAGTAAATATCCCCCAATGACCTGGTATGGTGTTGCAACAGGCGTATAGGAACAGTTCTGTAAGTGGCGCAATAACCTTTAGAAAAATTACCCATGAATTTACCAATCCCGTCATACATGGCATAACAAGTGTAATTACCTCTATAGACTGTGATTCCATCTGGTGGCTTAACATTTTCAACTAAGAGAGGGTATTCTGCCGTCCATGCCATGCAGAGGGACCTATTAAAGTCATATTGGTAGGCAAAAAGGCTTAAGAAGCAATCTTCTATCTCTAAAGGGAGAGTTAGGGGGACGGTGCCAAGGTGGGGTCGGGCACCGCCACATACATAACATGCTGTTTTATTATGTTTGTTAGCATTATACCTCATCCATTCTAACCACAAATTAATGTCATTGAATCCAGTTTCAGCGGCCATGGTATCTTCAAAAGTGGGGTTAGCGATGGCCATCATATCTTTAAAGGACTGGATATGTGGTTTTAGCGGATTTGGGACCATATGATCAGCCCCTTGCCACTCTGGAGAGTGGTACATATCTCTGAGGTAGAAATGACCTAATTTGTTGTAGGAACCTTTCTTCCAATACATTCCCATTACATATCGGTCTGCATCCTCGGGGCCAGGATGTTCAATATTTAACATTAATTTCATAGGGGTACTTCCTCCAGGCTTTCTTAAAGTCATTCTTTGAAGGAGGGATCTACCCTGATTGTCTATCTTAGATAAAACACTTTTGGGTTTATAACCCCAGGCAGGCCCAGTATTCCATCCCGCAGCCCCCCAGTAGTTACAGTCATAACCCCATTGTTCATCTACTACACAAACGTATGGGTCTTTTGCTTGTGGTATATCTTTATAAATGGCTTGAATCTGTGACTTAGGGAATGGGCACTCTACAATATCACAGTAATCAAAAGTGAATGTAGCCACATGGGTACATGATGAATTATACCAGAAGGTGTACCCACTAGCATCTTTGGTGATGGCCACCTGCTGGGCTTTAAGGAGGCCAACTAAGGAGATACTGTACCAGAGGCACATGGTTGCATAGAGTTAGCTTCCTCTGGGGCAGGTGTCTTCTTGCAGTGGGAAGCGTGGATCCAGTTAGGCCTTCCGGCCAATTTGACAGAGGTAGGGGAGATCAGGAGAACTTGGAACAGTCCGTCAAATCTTGGTTCCAGGGTGTGTTTTCGCACAAATTTCTTGACCAGAACCCAGTCACCGGGGAGCAGACTGTGGTTGCCCGTATCAGAATCAGGATCTGGAATTGAAGAGAAAACTTGGGCATGGATTTTGTTTAAAGCATTTGCGAGTTCAGTTACATAATCTACTAAAACATCAGTTTGAAGTTGTAGTTGTTGGGGAAAATAGCAACCTAGCCTAGGTGCAGTCCCAAATAGAATCTCATATGGGGACAATGAGGTAGTATTTTTGTACAAGAGCATTAATTAGATCTTTTGATAAATGTGCAGGTCTGTGTGCCCATTGTACGACTGCTGGGTACAAATTCTTAGGGAGGCAGAAATTGAGGTTGTTGGAGTACACTCCATCCTTCAGAACTGCCCCTTTCTGTTTCCACTTCTGTATTTCTTCAGGGGCAACTGTAGCCTGTTGTTCCAACAGGATTTTCAGGTCAGTTGGAAGAGTCTGCAGAGTAAATATGGGAGTTTCTTCATTTCCGGACACTCTTCTTTCCACTTCCTGTGGTTCTTTTGCAGCTTGTTTTGCAGCCTGATCAGCTAGATGGTTGCCCTTTGCTTCATCTGAGTCCAACTTCCCATGTGCTTTTATCTTTAAAATAGCCACTTCTTCTGGGAGTAGGAGGGCGTCCATCAGCTCCTTGATTGCGGAACCGTGCTTGATTGGTGTACCGGCGGTGGTAAGAAATCCTCTTGTTTTACAAATTAATCCGAAGTCGTGAGCCACGCCCAGTGCATATCTTGAATCCGTGTAGATATTGGCGCGCTTTCCTTCAGAGATCTTGCATGCTGAAGTCAGGGCTTGCAGTTCAGCTTCTTGTGCAGACATAGTTGATGGTAAAGATGATGATTTGACAATTTCATCTGTTGTGGTTACGGCATATCCTGTATGGTATCTTCCTTCTTCATCAGCATATCTTGAACCGTCCACAAACAGGGTGAGATCGGGATCTACCAATGGGTCTTCATGCACAGTTGGTAGATGTGTTGTTTCCATTTTCATCTGTTCAAAACAGTCATGAGGTGTATCTGGGTCGTAGTTATTCACTATGGTTAAATCTTGGAACTCATTCTCCAGGAAATGACGCGGCCATGCTTTTAGGTGGTCAGTTGTTGGATATTTGACAACACCATTTTCCTGTAGCTGTAATTCGTCCATAGTGGCCCATGCTTTTGCCATAGGCCCAAGATCATTCCATGATATTGTTTTCAACTTGGCCACAGGGACATGTGGAATGGCAGTGTCCCAATGACGGTACAAATGCTTGAGTTCCGGAGGTAGATGAATCAAGACCATACTGTTGCCTTCAGAATCACAGTAGAAGTCTTGTGCAATGAGTTTTACTTCGACCAGATTATAGAGTTCATCTTCATAACAGGGTTCAGGAGTGATGTTTGGTTTGTACCACATGGTACAGAAGGCATGTCTTGCTCCGTCATGAAGGAGTGCTTGTCCATCATGAAAGGATAGGTTGGGATGCATTTCCTTCTTGATGGTGCCAGTGAGAAGAAAAACATAAGTTTCGTCCATTATGAATCCGTAGTATACACCCCCCTCAGGGAGTGGCAGAAGAGTGGACGGATTGAGAACTTGACATCTTTGGAGGGTAATGTTGTCAGGCAACAAAAGATGACATTGAAGGCGAAGATGCCTAGCAGGAGTAACATGCTTAAGTTGGACCTGGTTGACTATGGCAGAAATGTCATGGGGGCCAAGACAACCAGGGGGTGGCCAAGGACAAGATCTCCAGTTCTTTCAATGAGCTCTCTGGCAGCAAAGACGGCCCGAAGGCAAGAGGGACGTCCTCTGGCCACAATATCCAGTTGGCAGGAGAAAAATCCAATAGGCCCTTGGTGGCCTCCAGGACCATGGGCCTGAGTGAGCACTCCTGTTGCATGGCCTTGTCTTTCAGAAACAAACAATTTGAAGGGTTTGGTATAGTCTGGTAGGCCAAGAGCAGGAGCAGAAGCAATAGCACGTTTGAGAGAACAGAAGTTATCAAGGGTTTCTGTGGACAAGCAAAATGGGTCTGACTTGAGAGCATCATAAAGAGGTTGCATAAGGAGCGAGGCTTCTGGGATCCATGCTCGGCAATAGGAAATGAGGCCTAGGAAGGCGTGTAGTGACTTCGAGGTCCTTGGAGGTGGAATGTCCAGTACCGCTCTAACTCGGTCACGGGTAAGATGTCTGGTTCCCTGAGACAGACAGTGGCCAAGGAAGATAACAGTAGGTTGGCAGAATTGCAGCTTGAGACGTGAAGCTTTACATCCTTGTTCTGCTAGGTAGCAAAGAAGATTAAGTGAGCATTGTTCTGTTGTGGGTATATCATCTCCACAAAGCAGCAAATCATCCACATATTGAAGCAGGACGACCTCAGGATGGTCAGATTGCCATGGATCAAGGATAGAGCACATGGCCGTCGCAAATTGACTTGGTGAATTTTGTGCCCCTTGGGGCATGACAGTCCATGTGTACTGTTGTTTGTCATGTGTGAAAGCAAACAGATATTGGCAAGTTGGATCCAGGGGAACACTGAAGAAGGCATTGGCTAGATCAATTACAGTGAAGTACTTGGCAGAGGGTGGAACGCCGGAAAGGAGAGTGTGTGGGTTGGGCACTATTGGAGTGTCCAAAACTGTGGCTTCATTCACCGCTCTGAGGTCTTGGACCAATCTGTACTTTTCTGGTTCGCCTTTTGGAGTCTTTTTCTTTACTGGAAATAATGGAGTATTGCATGGTGATTCACATTTGACAAGAGCACCCTTCTCCAGGAGTGCTTGAATTTGAATTGTAATGGCTGCAGCTTGAGCTGCTTTCAAAGGATACTGTGATTTTCGTGGCAATTTTACGCCTGGGATGAGCTTTACCACCACAGGCGGGACCTTTAGATGGCCCATGTCCTCTGGGCCTGTGGACCACAGCTTCTTGGGAACATCAGTCTTTAGTGAATCAGGGAAATTAGTCCTTAGGTCTTTTGCAGCCCCATGAGGCTCTTCTAGATGTAGCATCAGGGGTAAGGAGCACAAAGCTGAGGTGTCTGAGACAGATAGAGGGGTGGATAGTTCCACTTGTCCATCTGGAGTAAAGGTGATGGATGCCTGCAGGCGTGAAAGAACATCAGCTCCTAACAGGTTAATGGGGCATGTGGAAGATACCACAAAGCGAGCAAGCAAGTTGTGGCAGTTACCAACCCGCAGTGGGGTGGACAGGGGACTTTGCCTTGGAAGGCCGTCCACCCCAACACAGGAGACATCAATATTGGAAAGAAATGAGGTATCAGGCAGGTCTTGTTCTCTCAGAACACTTTGGGCTGCACCTGTGTCAACTAGGAAAGTGGTGGGCTGGCCCTCAATGGGTAAAATTACAGTAGCT